TCAAGGGTATTTTGGTAATTTAGGGGATGGGTTATTTTGGGAATTTAGGCATGAGGGGTTATTTGGAAGTAGGGTATTTTGGGGATTTGGAATGGAGGGCATTTTGGTCATTTGGCATGAGAAGTAGTTTTGGTGACAAAAGAAGGCAGTTTTGGGTATTTGGCATGAGGGGTATTTTGGTTATTTGGTTAAGGGTATTTTGTGAAATTAGGGGATGAGGGGTATTTTTAGGATTTGGAAGAAGGGTATTGGGAGTTTGGGATGGAGGGCATTTTGGCATAAGAGGTAGTTTTGATGATCTGAAAAGAGGGCAGTTTTGGGTATTTGGCATGAGGGGTATGCCGGTAATTCCAATCAAGGGGTATTTTGGGGATTTGGAAAGAAGGGATAATTTGGTAGCTTGGTCAAGGGTATTTTAGGGATCTTAGAAAATGAGTAATTTGGAAAATTGGTCGAGGGTAATTTGGTAATTTTGGMTTTTAGGGTATTTTGGTAATTCTGTCAAGAGGTATTTTGGGGATTTAGAGAATGAGGGGTATCTTGGAAATTTGGGCACAATGAGGGTATTTTGGGTATTTGACATGAAGGGGTATTTTTGGGAATTTGGTCAAGGGCATTTTGAGAATTTGAAGAGAAGGGGTATTTTTGGGCTTTAAGGGTATTAGGTGGGTTCAACAATGGATTTTAGGGATCTGGGGGTTGATATTTGGGTTCTTTGGATTCTCTGGATTTCGGTAGGGTCGGAATGGTTTGATTGGTGTTCGAGGGTGAATTTACATAGAACCAAGCAAAAACCGGGTGCTGACAAGTCTGATGCCTAGACTTGAGCCAAGCCAAATGCATCTTGCCTTGTTGCATTGCAGTAGAGCATAAAGAATTGACTCTTCTTTAATGGAGCACCTTTCACAGGTTGGGGAGCAAACAATCCCTCTTTTGAATAAATTCTCTTTTATTGTCAAGTCATTAAACTGTTTTACTTTAGGCTCAATGGGAAGGCTCCATAGTCCATATAAGAGACCGGTCTTTTTTTAACTAGACAGGATCTAGAAAGAGTTTCTTCTTCTTGATCACTCAAGGATTCTGCTAGGAAATAAGCTGATCTGACTGAGAATAGGCATTTCTCATTCTGAGTCCAAATAATTTTATCCTCCAAGGGTTGTTTGCTAGGTTGATTGAGAGGTTTTTTTTTTTTTTTTTTGCCTCATGCTCTAGAAAGGTACTATTGACTTTGGATACATCCCAACATCTTTCCTCTTGATTAATAAAGTCTGCCACCACCCTTATAGATTCAGAATTTGGCCTAGGTCCCCAAGGTTTAAAACCTTCTAACCTTGGAACCCAAGGGTCTTATACCCTCTCCTCTATTCACCCTCCAGATAATACCTTTCTCTAGGATTTTTTTTTTTTACCTGCCATTATGTTTCTCCATCCCCAAGAAGGGTTACCACTCAGAGAAGCATGCAGAAAATGACACTGAGGATAATACTTGGCTTTCATCACCCTAGCCGACAGACTATCACCATCTGAACACAATCTCCAGGCCAGTTTTGATAACTGGGCCAGATTGAAGAAATGTTTTGGATCTTGGAGGCCCAAACCCCCATTTAATTTATTTTTCTTGCACTGGCTCCAAGCAATCCATCAAGAAGCAAGACATGCAATATGTAAGAATGGCTGTGAGGACTGATTTTATTAAAATCTCTTTACTTTCTTGGGACAACATGGCACCTTTCCATCCATTAGCTTTGTTTTCCACCCTTTCTTTTAGGTATTCAAAGATCTGACATTGTTGCCTTCCTATACTAGGATAAGTCCCCAAATATATAGAAGGGTTTTCAACTTTTTTAAGGTGGAGGAGGTTTGCTAACATTTTTCCCAGTCTGAGGTGAAGATTGGAACTGAAGAAGACCTCTGATTTTGTAAAGTTTACTTTCTGCCCCAAAGCTTTTTCATTATACCATTACCTTCGATTAGATTGGCCTTAGAAAAAATGTAGCTATCATCCACCAAGAAGAGGTGGGAGATTTTTGGGGCTTGTCTACAAACTTTGACTCCACTAATTGGAATACTAGTTTTTTTTTTTTTTCACTAAGCTGCCTTTTTACAATAAAGAAGAAATAATATTATTTGCTTGAAGGATGAGGAAGGAAATTAGATTTTGGAATGGGTTCAAATTAGGCTATGTTTGGTTTGAAGGAAAATGTAGGGAAACCTAAACAAGATTTGTAAAGGTTTTCCTACCTTTCCCTACTTTTTCCTTCAAACCAAGCATAGCCTTAATGAATTAATTGTCAATTATTTTAAAAGGTTTATATCAGTCTCAAGGTTGTCAAAATTTGAATGAATTATCTGAGTTGTTTACTCCAATTAACACTAAGGAAGGTAATGTCCATTTTATTGAGGTTCCCCAAGAGGAAGAGATTAAATTGGCTTTTTTTTAGCATTGGTAATCTTAAAGCCTCAGCGCTTGATGGTTTTTTGGCCATTGGGATGAAATGAAAGGGAGGCATCATTGAGTTTGTTTAGGATTTTTTTAGCATAGAAAATTTTTGAAGAAACTAAATCTTACTTGCATCACTTTAATTCCCAAGTAACTAGATAGTTCTCATGTTAAGGATTTCTGCCCCATTAATCTTTGCAATGTTGTATATAAGATTGTGAAAAAAAAAATCTAGCAAATAAGCTAAAACCTATTCTTAACAAATGCATCTCCCTTTTTCAGAATGCCTTTGTTTTTGGGAGATAGATTTTGGACAATGTGGTTATAATTCATGAAATTTTGTATTTTATGAAGCATAGTAAAAGAGAGACTGATTATCTTGCGATTAAAGTGGATATGATGAAAGTTTATTACTGAATTGAGTGGGGTCATATTATTCATGTCAAGAAGGGTTTGGGCTTTTCAGGGACTTAGTGTGATTTAGTGTATTTCTGGATTGTAAGTCAAAGTATCTTGGGCTTTTCAGCAACTTAAAATAGGGAACTTGGATTGTAAGTCAAAGGTATTTGTGAATTCCCCTTTTAGGCAAAAGAATAAATCTTCATCACTTAATATTTTCTCTTGGATAATCTTTCAAATAAATTAAATTCTTGGAAAGCTTTAGATCTCTCTCAAGCAAGGAAACTAGTGCTTGTATAATCTGTTATTGCAAAACATTCCTAATCCTGTAATGCCTATGTTTTAGCTCTCGGATAGGATTAATGAGCAAATTGATAAGATTCAAAGGAATTTTTGGTAAAATTTTGGGAGAGATAAGAAATCATTTTATTGGACCAATTGGGATAAAATTTGCTCTCCTAGGTCTGAGGGAGGTTTAGAAATAAGAAAAGAAAAAGAAGCTAATAAAGCCTTTCAGTGGAAAGTTGCCTAGAATTTTATTAATCCAAGTAATGTTTTATGGGTCAAAATGTTAGTGTAAATATCTAAATAATAATGAATTTTTCCCTACAAAAATTTTTTGGGAAATCCTTGTGTAGACCTTTGAAGGAAATTTTCCCTTTTGTAGATAAGGATGTGAAAGTGAACATTTGGAATGTTCCTTGGATCAAAGTCCATGATGGCTTTATGGTTCCTATAGGTCCCTAGACCAACGAATTTAGGAATTTAACTATCTCAGGATGGGAAGTTGGAATGTAAAACCTTTCAGAAGACTTTTTGGTGAAGATATTATTTCACTTATTTTGAATACTTAGTCTTCAGGTCAAATCATGTGAAGCCTTTCTACTGGAATATGAGTAGGAGTGGGAAGTTTTCCTTAAATGTGATAGGGATGGCAATTTTTCCCCATTCCGCCGAGTGCCTGGCCTTCCCGACCTGATGGGGATGGGGATGGAGAGTGAAGTCCCTGCCCCGCTCCGATCTTAATTATATATATACATAGATACATACATATATAAATAAATAAATATATATATATATGCTATTTATATTTTAAAAAAGTTATTTTAAGTAAATTTATTTTCTAAAAAATACTATTAAGTGTTAACTAAAATTTTTTGGGGGTTCAGGTCGCCTTCCTATTGCCATTCCAAAGAAGTGACAAATTTTCACTTTTGTGAAAGAACAGCTTAAAAATTATTTTCCCAACGTTTGAGTTTAATTGTTCTGGACTTTGCTTGTTTTGCATAGGTATGGAGGGTTGGCGGGAATTTTGTAGTTGTGGCTTCTATTTTGGCTTCTTGTGGTTTTGTTTTTCAATAAATATGTGTGTTTTGTACTGTAAAACTGAAGATGCAGTTCATTTATTCTTGTAATTTTGTTAAAATTATTTGGTTTGCCTCTCGTTGTAATTTTGATAGTTATGAGCATTCTTCAATGCAAGGCCTAATTATGAAACTGCTGCATAATCTTTCTAGACAGGAAGATAAGAAGGTTGCGGTTATTGTTTGTCATATTTGTTTTTTCTTTCATGTGAGGAAAGTTTCATTGCAGAGGTTTCGTCCTGTAATCCTGAATCGGATAGTGTTTACCTTTTACTGTGATGGAGGGTGTATGGAAATGTGAAGGAATCAGTGCTGGAGATGGAGCTGAAGACAATTCCGGCTGCTATTTTGTTTGCTAGAAGCCAAGGTTTCAAAATCTTTTATATTTTGCCCGACTCTTTAGTCATGCATACATACTCCCTCTGATTCAACAAAAATCTCATAAGTTGGATATCTGGGACCATGTTTTCTTTTTGGTATTACATGTTGCACTTTAACCGGGTTCCAATTGTATTTGGGCTATTTTTGAACCGGTACCATCAGTTTTTGAAAAATAGTCAACCAAAATCAATCGGTTAACCGGTTCATCGATTTGATTTTTGACCAGGTTGGTTCTTTGACTTCTTGGTTTTTTTATATTTGCAATATAATCCAATTTGGTTTTTCAGTTCTTGGGTTTTTGTTGAGCACCCCTAAAACCAAATAGTCCCAATTACAAACCCTATAGTTCAGACATGTCAACCTTTTACTAGCCCTTAAAGTGCAGATTTCACATGTGATCACAAACTGAATCAAGTGGCAAGGAAAATAGTACGTCGTAAACTTTTCAATAAATTTAAGGGAGAATGACTGTTCAGCACACACAGGTGGGATGAATCCTGACCGTGGGTCGATGCCCAATGCACGGACAGGATGCGGCTACTAGTAAACTATGGGGGCTGTAATTTCAGAATCTGCAGTGCGCTGCAGTGTTTTCCATAAATTTAATCACTCTAGTAGCGCTGCAGTTTGTTTTTTCAAATGTATGAACCTCTTGGCTGTTGAGGGGTTGAACAAGCTTGGGCTATCATATTGGCTCAAAATGTCTGATGAGTCTGCCTCATCTAACTCCTACCTTAGCTTCCTCAACGGCAAGGTCCGTCCAAATAGCTTCTCTACTTCACTGGCTTCCATTTTCAGCTCACTCAGAAGTTCCATCTCTTCTTTGCCTAGTCCTCTCAGGAAGTTCTCCTCATCCTGCTTTAGCTCCTTGAAGCCCTCTGCTAACCTCTGGAACAATGTCATCTCGGTTTTCTTCACCTTCTCCACCTCACCTCCAATCTCTTCTACCTCCCTTATGATTGTCTTCTCTCCTTCCTCCACTGTCTTCTCCAATCTTTCTACAAGGGGAGGTTCAGGCCCACAAGTATTATCAGTTGTGATGAACTTGTTGAAGTCCCGTCCTACACTCTTTGCAGCATTCTTAAGTTCAGGGATAATGCTCTCAGGTAAAACTGCACTTCTAGTGTACACAACAGCACCACCATATCCATCCCATGCATCATTCCTGCCCCTGTAGTATACAAATATGTAATCATCTGGCCTGTTCTCTACTCTGGATGACAGAATGTACCTGAAAGAAGTCATCAAAGGTCAGTGTTCGATGTTTCTCAGGAATAGATTTCATCACAATAAGAAAAAATGAGCAATTTTTTGATGAATGCCTTTGATGTTGCTAAATAAATAATAAATAGTAAAAAGTGCACAGATGCAATTATAAGTTTTGGATGACAGAAAATAAGCCCAAAAATATATCAGATGTATTTTGTGTAAAAAATAGCCATGAACGGTTTTATTATTACAAAGAAAATTGTTGTATGTGATGAAATGTGGGTTCCACAGATATAGATTAAACGTGGGAGACACTAAAGATTCAATGTTATTCTAATTTCTAAATTAAACACCAACAGAAACATGGCCCATTGGCTAAACAAAATGGAAGCTAACAGGACAAGCTGGACATGAGATCTATAGCAAGATGGAAAGCAAGAATTAGGTTAACCATCAAAAACATTTCATGTAGTGATAGGTTTGGTAAGTTCTGTTGGACTAATTTTTGGGCAGGACACAACACAACACAAAGGGCAGGTGGCAAATGGTTCATCTGCTGACAAATTCACCCAGCTGCACATTGGGAACATCACTTGTATATTATATCATTGATATTCCCAATGTGCAGCTGGGTGAACGTGGCTAGCAATGTGTTGTGACCAGAAGATCTGGACTTTGCAAATAGTGTTCATAGCATCAGTAGGTAGGTGGTACAACCAGCCAAAACTAGGGGATGCCTGGCATCTTTATTCACACCAATAAAGCATCTGTTAAACAAGCAAAAAATAGTTCATAGCATCAGTAGGTGACTGTTTTATTCTGGGATCAGGATTTCTTGAAGATGCCTCTTGCCAAGCATTAATCTTCTTATATATAGTGCTGAGAGAATTACTAGTCTTTGTTGTAAAATTTTATCCATGTATAATATTAGGACAATGACATTTACAATAGGTATACACTGCACATGCTTGCAGGGTAGATTCTGCTTATAGATGCTCATCGCAATATAATTTCCCAATAAATAAAGAGATGTACTCTCAATACATAAAAACTAGTGCATGTGGATCTATGGACGCAATTCATGCAAACAAACTTGTAGAGGAGTCATGATTAAAGATGGCTGGGGAGAAGAAAGATACCAATCATCTTGGTAGTGAAGGTACTCATTGTCGTGATTGTAGAGCACCCCAGGCTGATTTGAATCCTGCACAAATCTTTGCACAGTAGATCGAGTGAAAAAACCACCATCAGGAGTCCGTATCCGCCATGATAAATTTCCCACAAGTTTGTTGGACTCCATATGAAATTCGTGCAATTGGCAATCAAAAGTATCAAAAGTAGGATTTAAGCCACTAGTTATGTACCATTTCCCACTGAAATCTGCAATGTTGAAACTCTTGACAAGAGCTGCAGGATCTGGAATTGGAAACTCGCCTACATCAGACTTCCTGGGTACACATTTCTTACGTGAGACTGCACATTCATTGAACTCATCTACCACATTGTTCTCAAACAGATCCCCACATTTAATCTGTGAAAAATAAAAGGGTTAACTGACTATCTAACTAAAACCAGTCTCTCATCACTCTAAAATTGTACTCCTACTAATATAATGAGAAAAAGAAATGCAACTGACCTGGCATTCAGTCTCATCAGGTCGATTATTACATGTCTGGAGACATGCAATGTTGGCTGCACATGATGGGTTTGCAATACACTTGGCTAATTCTACCCTGCACAAGGAAACCAAAAACCAAAAATGAAAAAGATTCATCAACTCTAAATGAAGCATGGATTGCTCTTGGGATTAAGAGATCCAAATTTGAGGGAATAATACTACAATCTGATGAGGATAGCATGACAACAATCTTTATGAGAGGTGACTGTCTTGAGAACAAGCCAGTGTCAGGAAAATTATTTAGATTTTTGGTGAACAATAGGCTATACCAGGTAAAGTTTTTAGTCCACTTGTGCCAGCTGCTAGAAAGGTCACTTTTTTAGTCCCAAAAAGTATGCATTTGAATTCAGAAATTGGAAGTTGAACAATGTGAGTATCTGCTTCAAGCCTTATAGTTTGCAACATAAAAAAATAAAATTAATAAAGTTTCTATTCAACATATAGGACAATGTAAAACTAAGACAAGGTGCAGTATTTGGTATTATACTCCTTTTGTATCTAGTGCCCCTCAGAAACATTGCTCAAACTGGCAAAGTAAAAGGAAAAAGCATACTACTTGGCAATGCATCTAACACGGTAATATCACCTTTGAGAAATCTTTAGATGCTGCAAATGAAATACCTGCATTCTTTCAATAGACAACCACACGTCTTGAGTGCATCAACAGCATCTGCTGATGGAACAACCAAACATATACATGCCAGTATACTAGCTGCAGCCACAACATGCACTCCCTTCCAATGCTTCACAATATTTAATAATTTCTTCGATGGAGATCCAACTTCCCCTTCTGCCTGCCAAAACTTGACACTTAGAATTTGATTCTAAACCAAGAAAAATTTTGACTACTATTCTAAAACTAGAAAATTTTAAATCAACCAACCAAGAGGAGAGATATTTAAGCAGCTACCTCATCACAAAACGTATCAGTATTAATGCTAGGCACTGAAATAATCTTCTCATTTCCACCTGAGACAAGATGAAAAGTTCTAGAAACCAACCGAAAAAATTTTCTCTCAGATCTTCTCAACCGGATGGTTCTTCGATCTTTACTATTGGAGCATAATTTCACCTTAACCACGCCATGCTGATACCAAGCCCCACTTCTGTGAAACCTTTTACCACTTGAGGGTAGTAGTGATTCAATACAGGCCACAATACCATCATCCCGTGAGAAACATGTTGGGCCTGAGGTGGATGACATATTACAGCGGGTTGGCTTCCAAACACAACCTGACAATGATTTATTGGTGTTTAGATTATCCGGTGATCTGCATCTTCAAAGGTCAACTCAAAATTTTCAAACAAGAAAACAATGGAATAAGAGTTTGGGGTCACCAAGGCTACTCATATTATTGTAAATTTTTTCCTCATTTAATAAAAGATTTTTTCTGTTGCTGATCAAACAGAAAACAATGGAATAAGAGAGCTATGACCACAAAAGCTCAAAGGGCATCCCAGGGTTCTCCAGATTTAGGACATGGTCCTTTAAAATGCATTAACAAATTGAATAAGGTAATTTTATGTGAACTGCAAGTAAGCATATTTATGACTATTTTTACTAATAAAGGCAAAAAATAATAGGACCAAAACCAAATGCAAATGCCCTAGCTTTTCCTCCCTCTCTGACCATTTATTCCTAAAAAGCTACCAATACCATGCTTTCTTAAGTCTACTTCTACTTCATCTGTTTCTGTAATCTGCACTTCATTTTCTTTCATAATTAGGGTATCATCCTTTTTGGCTTTATAGTTATCAACAGCAGTGGCAATATGACATATACAAAAGCTTTGTTAATCAGATGCATTCAATTTATCCACATCTTCAAGAATTTATATGCCAAAAATCTCGGACTGCCAAGTGCAATAAAGTGGGTTCATGTCTGAGAATGACCACTTCATGCAAAAAAAAAAAAGAAAAAAAAAAAAAAGCAAAAGGTTGGGTCCATATCCAGTCCACCCCCAACAAGGAGCCCAGATAGCTGAGACCAACATGGATAAATGGCCTTGAAGAATTTATATGTCAAAAATCAGTCCTATTGGATGCTTAAACACCCACTCAATCAATTTATCCAAGAATTAGTAGAATTCAATCAAGTTGTTTTCTCGTCTAAGAGATATCTTGCTTGGTATTTACTAATTGCATAAAAGAATATGCAGGTAGAGTCTCGGAGGGAGTCAAATCCCATATTTGAGATTGAATCCAGCCTTCATCATTTCAACTACTGTCAACTAACCACTGAACCATTGCCTAGAAAAAAGAAAACTATGCACCAATTCTCTTAAACAAACTGTGTAATATCATAGAGTAGTTTTTTTTTTTCTTTTTGATTCTTGTCAAAAGCTTTATAATTTATAAAAAATTGAACAGGAGCTTCCTGTGCAACCAACCACAAAAAAATGGGAAAAAACATATAAGATGCGTACAGATAGAAGACAAGACCATGGATCCATTACAATGGCTTGTAAAAGCTGCCCCTAGAGGCTCAATCAATCTCCGGTTAAACAACATCTACTTAACAGTAAGACCCAGAAGTAGTTGAACATCCACTCCTACCAAATCATTCATAACCCAACTAAGAGGATTTCCTCCTTATACTCTGACTGAGCTTTCCGAGTAAAGTTATTCGATGAAGTAGGTAAACTCAAAACTTTTACAACATGCAAGCGTCGATGAGTTTTTTTATGGCCTGATGGCTCAGGCTCAGAAGAGTTCAAAAAATACAAGGCGACACTACCAAGTCATAGCATCCTTTACAGTTAAATGCTAATAGATCGACCCAATTGTGCTCCATTTACTAAATCAGCATAAACGAATAAACATTTAAAATTTGAGGTATTGCAATCAAACTGGTATCCAAAACAAGAAAGAGAAACTACGAAGCAATTGAATAGAGAGAAAACAAAACCATACATGTCAAAACCAAAAATTTCCATGGAAAACCCTCCTAACTCTTTTCTTCTTTTTTCTGTTTTTGAAATTGCTTTCCAAGCAATACAATGATAACCAGAGATTGAGAGAAATAGAGAGAGATGGAAGCTTATTAGGGTTTAAGATGAAAACCTCGTCAGGCCGATCGAAGGTTGAGCAGCTGGAAGTGAAAGAGACAGTACGTTTCATGGCAGCAACCAGCAAGTTGCAGAGAGATAAAAAGACGAGAGAATGTGTGGAAAGGGAAGCGAATGGACTCGGATAAGACAATATGTGGATTGGATGCCTGAAACGTAATATTTGTTATTTTCCGGGTTGGGTCGGGTTAAATTCAGGTCGGACCAGAAATGATAGCCGGGTCGTTTGATAGGTTTCCTTAAACCATCAAAGAATCTTCCACGTGGCAAAATTAAAAGTCCAAAACTATAAAAAGGACCTTGCCATGTGGCAAATCCCTGTCCATTTCCCTACCTATTCCTTGGAATTCCAAAATGGGGTGCAATTCTTAGTATCCACTATGCCCTAGCGCCTATATAATATCTGAAAAACTCCATGGATGGATTTTGATTGGTCAAAACTCTTTCCGTATTATATCTTTTCTGCATCATAAACTTTTCCATCATGTAAAGTGTCAAATGCAATACGGACTAGCAATCGGGCTTCAGAGTCCTATTCAAAGTTTCCTTTGTTGGTGAAACCCCGGCCCATATAAATGTGATCGATCGTATTCACCTAAGGGAACAATATCGGAAAATTCTTGTTCTTTGTTTGGTGCTAATTGTTTATTCTGTTTGGTGTATTTTTTTTGGGAAGATCTTCTTGTAGTTTTAACATGTAAAAAATGTATTGAGCTTTTGCATTAAGATCTGAGYAATTTGAAGCACGTTTAGTAGATGTATGTCTTTCTATGTCTTTTCGCGCTAGAATAAAATCCGAAAAGCTTCATTTTAAGCTTCCGAAAATCAATCCAAAATAAGTTTTCACATCTTTTTGGTACTCCGTCTTTTGACAATTAAATTTTCTACGAGTTAAAAGAAAATAAACAAAAAATTAATCTTTCCAACTTGTAAACAACCGAAAGACTGCAGAGAAAAACATGCTTAATGGGCCCTCACTTTCCTGTTGGAGAGTGATAGGTGGTACGGTCCATGACTTACCTGTGAATCTGTTCCGACTCTATCTGTGTTATACAGGCGCTCGAAGACACAGCCACCCGGCACTCGTTGTGGCTTTTGGAAATTAAGTACCAGAAATCTCCTACGGCTGTTCTCCTGTCTCTTTTTGTTTTATTCACAATAAGTTTAACCAGTTCGCTCATGATGTGGCTTAGAAGGCTAAGACTTGAACCAAGACTTATTTATCGTACAGGGACACCTAATGAACAGAACTTTATTTCGTTAGCCTTATAATATATAACTTTTAGTTATCAAATTTCTTAAATTATTATTAAGGTTTAAGAAATTGATTAAGTACTGTTTTAGTATTGTCTTAAAGTATTCTTACTATTTATGATATTGTGTAACACTTCCCTTATTGTTAAACTCGTTTCTTATATGACATTACGTGATCAATTTTTTTCAAAATTTCAAAAAATGCCCTTTGGCTCTCTATCTCTCTCTCCTCACCTCACCTCACCTCCTTGACACACACGGTGGACATTGATGCCACTGCAACCTTAGGGGAGGTTTTAGACATCTCTAGCGCTGGTTCTCCCCCGATCTCTCTCTCTCTCTCTCCCTCATCAGAAACAGAGCAGAATGACGATACAGGATGGAATGCAACTAGTATACAAAAATCTAATCAAATACTTCATCGCTTGCTATTATAATCGATTACTAGAATTCTTTATATTCACAAATACCCTAAAAACTCATAACTCTTCCATAGGCGGTGAGGAGAACTCACGGGAATACCGTTGCTGCTAGAAGTTGTAGTCGCAGTGGTGATTGATCTTAAACAAATAAAAGAAAAAACCAAAAACCAAAAACAAATGAAAGGGGGGTTTGGTGTTGATTGGTCAATTGATAAATACCCAGAAACCTAGAGCTTTTTCATAGGCGGTGAGGAGAATGAAGGGATGAGAGGTTCATCATATGGATGGCCGAACCYTGTAGGAAGGTTGGGCAAAATTTCAAAAATTTTTCTCTCTCTCCCATTTGGGAATCACATTCCCTATTTCAGAAAACTGCATTTTCAATTATCAATCTTGAACCCAAACCAGACCAAATCTGAAACCAAAAGGGAGTGGAGAGATATACCTGATACGAAGTAGTAATAACTTCCAATGAAAGTGTTCATGCCCAATGAAAGATCCAAAGACTACTTCCACCGAAGATGACACAGTGCAGGATGAAACAGAATCAGCATGATGGTTCTTTAGCAATAAACGAATTCTTCAACAAGAATCTTGATGGAGGGCAAGTGAGCACGACTTCATATTACCTTTTCTCCCAAAAGGTAATATCAAGAACCCTTCTTGATCACTCCCACAGGTGGAGATCGAACTAGTATGGCGACAAGAGCAGGAGAGAATGAGACAATGCAGTCAAATTGTGTTGTCTCTCTCTGGAGTTCAGCAGTCAGTCAGATGAATTCTGATGTATTCTGAGGGTTCGCACTGCTCTCCTATTTATAACCTTAAAGAGAGGTTCTCCTAATCTCATTAGGAGTTTCCTAAT